TTCAGCAATTTCATTATTAAAGTTCTTGTTTTATCAAAAAAAATTAATTATTAGTATAAAGGTAACTATGCCAAATCAACACGTCACTCTATATCCATTTTATCATTCTAAAATGGGAAACCAAGTGCAAATATGGGATTTGTGCATCACATTACTTTGTAATTGAATAAATACAGCTAAAATTTGATACTCTTATAGATGTGATTACTATATTCATTACGATGTCATGGTCTATCCTACTATGTTTTCTCTTAATAGGTAAAATGGGAAGGTAAATATATAAAACATAACATTTACGACACATCATTTTGTAATTGAAAAGATTATAATACAAAAGAATTTGAAAATCTTAAAGATGTGACTACACAGGGAAAATCGTTCAAAACATTTCTCACATTTCACCAAAAAAAATTTTACATACTTTATTTTTTAAAATATTAACTTTATATTCCTTACAAATTTAAGTTGGCAAAAATGAATATAAATTGAGTCCGATTTCACTTTTTTAGGAAAAATGAATATGGTTCGGATCAGATTCTACTTTTTTTATGGACAAAAATGAATATGGATCGAGTCATTTATTTAATTACAAATAGGATGTAACGTTTTTGCCCCCTAAAAAAATGATCATGTGTGTTTCACGTGATGTATTCAAGGTAAAAAGTGGTAAAAAACGTAGGTTGGGACAAAATTTTACCTACTTGATTTTTTGATGTATATAAAGTTACCATTTTAAAAGTAAAAGACAAAACATTCATTTGATGAAATGTAAAAGATGTTTTAAACAATTATCCCAAATCATTCCTACAAAGTTAGATCTGCTGACTAAACACGTAACTTTATATCCATTTTATCATCCTAAAACGAAAGTTTATGAACCTTCACTCTTCAAATCAATGTTACAACTAGGGTTGCAAATGAGTTAAATCAAGGCAAGTTTTGGTCTTATCAAGTCGAATTAAACTCAATTTTGTCAGGTTCGAACTCAATCTTGAGCTCGACAAACTTTCATTCTAAAATTCGATCTTGAACTCGAGTTCGAACACTAGTTTGAGCTTAATCAAGCTCGAGTTCGAACTTATTTGAGCTCAAGTAAAAATTTTAAAAAATATATTTTTTATTTTAAAAAAAAGATAAAATAGACATTTCATCTTAGTAACTAATAAAAATATAAGAGACATACATGTATTTTTATCACTAAAAATATAAAATATTTAAAATATATGAGCTCGATCTAGCTTGACTAGCCAATGAGTGAGTATTTAACTCGATCTAGCTTTCAATTTCATTAGTAAGGTCAGAATATGTTTTACATTATTGACATGCCGCCATGCAGGCTGTATTCCTTTAATAGATTTCTTGCTTAAAATGAATATGTGCTCAAGGGTTTCATACGACTTTAATACAATATATTGGCATTATTGAGGCAGTCTTCAATCGTAATACTTATAATTCATTCTAATATACAGACTTTTAAGTTAAAATTGCATTTACTAGCAATATAATCAGCGACGTAAAATATAAATTACATGAAGTTAAATAATTATAATTTATTTTTAATCTATTCTCAATTTTGATATGAGATTCAAAAAAAAAAAAAAATTCCTTACACAATTGGTCAAAAGTCAAAGAATTGTTAAAGTATCTTAAAACAATTGGTCAAAGTATCTTAAAACATTTGTTTCCTAATATAAAAGTAATACAAGGGAAATTCATTGTTATGAAAAATTTGCCAATCTACTATTTAGATCTTTTAGGATGAAGGTGGAAAAAGATTTTTCTATATATATATTTTTTAAAGAATAGGATTCCAAGAAAAGGTTGGAATGAGCGTTTGAACCAACATTCTTCGAGAAAAAGGCTTTTTCACTTGAATGAATCATACCAAATATTGGAATGGAATGGACAAATTAAAAAGATATTTTCTTTGCAGTCCATTCCAACGTACACCAAACAAGAGATTAAGGTGGTAATCGAGCAAAGCTTAGAAGTCTGCTATTGGTGGAATTTGTTTGGGTCACAAAATCCCAGGACATCGGCCTGGCCTAATAGTACTGGTTAATTAATAATGAGCTCCGCTGGCCACCCTTTGATAATTACGCTTGGTTCTAGCAAATGTTTGTAGTAACTATGTGATGTAAGTTGTAACCACCAAAATTAGTAGTTATCAAAAGGAAAACTATGTATTTAAAAGTTGACATAATTTAATATAGGGTTAATTACAAAAACTCCCCTAAGGTATATCTGTTTTTACACTTTATTCTCTAAAGTTTTTTTTTTTTTGCTTTGTCTCGACAACATACATAATGGTAATTTTAAAAGGATATTTATACCCTTTATAGTTAAATGCAGTAATTCTCCTATCTTATTTTGCACTTTATCTCCTAACATAATTTTTTAAAAAAAAAATTGTTGCATCATAAGCATGTTTCTCAATTATTTTTTTTAATCACTTTTTCATTTCACAAACATCAAATTACAAAATGTATTATAATATTATTTTAAAAAATTTTCCAAATAATCTTCAATCCACACAAACTCAATCTATAGACCTTTAATAATATTCTTATAGTTTACTTTTTCACTAATAATTTTTATTTTTTCCCTTATCATGTGAAATGAGCGGGATATTTTTTTTTTTTATCTAAAAACCTATAATTATCGAGATAAAATTTAACAAGACCTATATTTGTAAATGTACAATAATTTTCATTATTATGTTAGGGATACTGATATTTTTAAACATTATCTATCTTAGGTGGTTTTATGAACAAATATACAGATTAAGAGAAAAATGATATTGGAGGGGTAAAGTGTAAAACGCGCTAAACCTTAAGAGGATTTATTGGAGTTAACCTCTAGAGGTATAAATGTCTGTTTGATATTTCCGTTTCCATTACGCAAGGTTAGAGTGGACTAACAGTTTTGGGGCTAAAGTAAAAAAAATAAATAAATAACGTTAGGGGGTAAATTGCAAAACTGATTTAACCTTGAGAGAGAGAGAGAGAGGGGGGGGGGGGTTGTCATTTATCCTTTAATATGGTCTATCTTATGCATACAATAGACTGGAACCAAATTTTTATGTTTTGATTGACAGTTGTGGAATATGGTACAGGCTTGTGGCTTCCGAAAGAACTATGGACAAAGAAAATGTTGACAATGAGAATCAATTGTCTGCCTCTATTACTTAGAGCTATTTTATGTTCTTTTTCTTCACTTTTCTTCCTTTCTTTATTATTCTCAGCCCATGTCGTTGTTTTTTTCAACAGCCTGAATCAGACTTTTGTTGTTTTATAAACCTAATCCCAGAATTAACCTCAAAAGCCGGCAACTCTTGAGGCAATCCCAGGGACTTATATCCCAACCCAAACCCAACCCCAACCCCGATGTGGGACAAATGTACCTATAGGGGGGACCTGCTGCTAAGTGGGATACTACCACCCAATACCCTTTCAACCCTGAGGCAATTTGTCTTTTTTCAACAGCCTGAATCAGACTTTTGTTGTTTTATAAACCTAATCCCAGAATTAACCTCAAAAGCCGGCAACTCTTGAGGCAATCCCAGGGACTTATATCCCAACCCAAACCCAACCCCAACCCCGACCATGTCGTTGTTGATGGAATACTTTTTCTTCTGTGGTTTCTTGGGGCCTCCATCTGGGGGAGGGGCTTTAAGCCATCAAGATTAGTGTGCTATTGCAAAATCGAATTGTGTATAAAATTTCATCAACAGCTATCTTCAACGCCCCCCTCTGTCTCTCCAAAACGTGGGCCAAAAAAAAAAGAAAAAAAAAAGCCAATCAAGATTGTGAAGCCGCCCTCTTCAAGGAATATACTTGGATGCTCTGATCAATAATAAGTTCCACGTTAAGACTTCCTACCTTGGAGTTGTAGACCTTTGCATGGGGGTAACGTATCTAATAACTGAAAACTCATTGAAAAAATGGAAAATTACAGTTCGGTTTTAGTACTCGAAGTTTTGGCAAAAGCACATCTAATCCTCATTTTTTAGTAAATTTGTAGTTTTAGTCCCTAATATTTTGACAAGAGCAAATTTGTAGAGTAGATTAAGGATATTTGAAGAATTTTTTAATTGCTAATAGAATTTAGTCACATAAATAAAGAAGTAAAATAGTAACTAATTTTAGGCAATGAATTGAAGAAGTAATAACTCACTTGCTAACTAATTAACTAGTGAAAAGAAGAAATTATTAAAGCAAAAAAACTAAAACTAGCCGAAGCACCCAATTCATCAACTCAGAATTTATTTTCCTTCTCTATCTCCATTAACCCCAAGCAAACAATTGTAACACTTAATCTTTTTCGTGTAAATTAATAACGTGCAATCATGTTAGTTATTCTTATTATTCAATGTTACTCGCTATTTTTTAAAATCTTTTTAAAAAAATTTAATTCAAGAAATATGTGAGTGCATGTGATTGATTCCATCAATTTTTGAGAAAATTCATCAATTGTCCTAAATTTGCTTCAAATTGTTAACATTAAGGACCACATTTGTATGCGCTAAAATTTTGATGACTAAAACTGCACGCGTGCCAAGCATCAAGGACTATATTTGCTTTTTCCAAAACTTTAAGAACTAGAATCGCACAAAAACTAAATATTGAGCACTAAAACTGCATTTTTCTCTTCAAAAGAATAGTATAAGAAATACAAGCGGTCGCGTATATATAAAGGTCATAAGTCAGAATTCAGAAGCATCAAAACTCTTATGGAATATTGGGCCCCTTTTCTTCCAGGGGCGTCTCCTTTTATCCTTCTACGCTTTTCGATGATGGAAGAAAGTATGGCGGTTATCCTTAAACCCAAAAAAAAAAGAAAAAGAAAAAAAGAGTATGGCTGTTATGCTTTTCCAAATGAAGACAATAATTCAGATATATATATTCTGGCTTTTTCTTATTCCTGCTAAAATCACCCACTGTATGGTACTTATAATTAACCGACGGTATGGTCAGATGTATGATAAGAAAAACAATGAATAAGAGCAAGAATACGTTTATTGCTTGCACGCAGAGAATTGTCTTTTTCTCAAAATTCACTGTCAATCAATGTCCCTCGTGAACCTCATTTGAAGCAGAGCCACAAGAGTAGCATTTTGGTGAGAGGCAAGGTCCACCCCACCAAAACCTTGCCTCCCACCCCACCAAAGCCTTAAGGGCTTGGTGGTGACCACCAGCCCAAGAGCTGGTGGTTTCCCTCATGAACCTCATGTTCCAACTTTTCTTCAACTTGTTAGACATTTCAGCTAGTCAGACCGTCCTCTTCAGGCTCGTACCATCCTACGCACTATAGCCAGTGAACTGCTACGTAAAAAGGACAGAATTGCTGAGCTTTCTGCTAATAGCTCTCGGGCATGAAACATATTTTAAGCATCCCAGGCAACTACCAATGCATCACCTCCTCTGCTCCAGAACATCAGCATTTGAAGCGTCTTCACTAGAAATGGTACATTTTGTTGCAAAAATCATCTCCTTCAATAGAGCTTGAAGATGCACCGCACCAATCAAGCTCCTTATTGCAGTGAACTAGTCTTGCACGATTGAGCTTGTTTGCTGCACCAAAAGTTATAGCTGCTAATATGGAGGTTATTATCTGTAGAGTGTCCAAAATTATTTATACAACTTTGATTTGTCAAAGCAGAATTATACTACACCATGTGACAAATTTAAGTAGTACATGAACAAAGCATCCACAGTACTTGGGGAGGGGGAAAAAATTTCTGTGAGTTTGTCCAATGTTCGCTATATCAATGACCCTGCAATCACTTGTACAACCAAGCATATCCCATTATGTGTGCAACCCTTTTAGCACCACTGCTCCAATCTCAAGGCGGCAATGTCTGTCTTGTATGTACAAGCAACTCCTGTAGGGTATACCAGCTGCCTTATTGCTGCTTCATACTGAATGCAGTTCTGTTCTGGTTATTGAGCCTCCAGCAGAACTCCGTGGTCTAGAAGTTCAGACAGGACACTTCTCATTTTATCTACAGAAACAGGCTTTAGTATCACTCCATCCATACCAACTCTCATGCAGCTCTCCTTTGTCACCCTGTCTGTGTTTCCTGTCAAGGCCACAATGAGTGGCCTATCACGACGTCTTGCAAATTTTTCATGTATCCTGACTGCAACTGCATAAATGTCTATACCGGGTATGCTCACATCCATGAATACCACCTTGTGCTCATTATTAACTACTTTCAAGCACTCGTCTCCAGAGCTGACAGTTGCAACATCACAACCTAGATGCACAAGCAGCCCCTTGGTCACCATCCTGCTAACCCTGCATCAGGACCAATGATAGACAGATAATTACAGATGCATAACTGACCCACCTTGATATTTATTTATGAAGCCAATGATGTTGTGGAATTCGGACAAGACTAAGTCCAAGATTTATGAACCCTTCCTTTTCTCAATATGAAAACTTAAAAAAGAAACAAAGACCCCAAGTGATGAAGATTAGCTGGAAAATTCTCCAGTCCAGGGACCACCAACCTAAAGCTCACCCATAACACAAGCAGCAATTAAGTTTGCCAATTTCACTCTCCAGGTGCACAAAAATAAGATTCAAAAGCAAAGCCAGCATCATGCCAAGGCCTCTGATAACCAACCATCTAGTATGCTGAGTTTAAAAGTGAATCCTATACATATGCCATATTGATTTTTACCAATATTACTGCTATTGAAAATTTTAGGAACAAAAGTCTTCTCTACATTTAATAGAAGCTAATGTCAAGGATAACAACAGGGGTAGACTTGCTAACAGGCCATAGCCAAAAGCATAAAATTGTGAACTCAATGGATTACATGGAGCTAAAGACCAAATTGAGGAAGTAATAACAATTAAATCTCAATAACAGTTGGTCGCAAAAAAAAAAAAGTGTCGGTCACAAATACCAAAAGGAAGCACATTATATTGCTAATCTTCGTAACCATCATCAGTAACAAATCGTACAACCTTCTCTCCAAGAAAAAGTTGCTAATTTAGCCACAACTACTCAGCTGCTGAAACCTGACTCTTGACATCTTCTTGACATGTCACGCAATAACTGTGATTTATTGACACAAGGATGTGGCATTTTTTTCCACTTCAATGATTCTAAGATTTAAGATCGTTCCTTTTCCCTGCAATCTGTGCTTCAATGAGTTTGTGAATCTGTGCTTCAATGTGATTTGTTGACACAAAGATGTGGAATTTTTTGCAACTTCAATGATTCTAAGATTTAAGATCGTTCCTTTTCCCTGCATTCTTACCGAATGCCATATAAGACAATATATTGTGAATCTGTGCTTCAATGAGTTTGTTTCTGTTTCCCCAGTCTATGCCCACCTCACCGCCTAGACATCAGATCTTGTTAAAGTTTAGCCCTATAATAGCCTACCAAGACTCTAACTACTATAAATATCAGATGGCTTATAACTTCCCTTAGATATCAATAGAGGTTAAAAGGGTACAGAATCAACCAACCCGTTATCATCCATTACAATGACCTTGAGCCCGGTAAAATTTGTCCGTACATGATTTACAGGGGCTCTGGACACGTATTGGAGCTTAGCTTCATTTGAACGCCCACGTAGTCCAAGTTTTACCATAAAGATAGCAGTACATCCCTTGCCAAGACCTTCACTTTCAAGCCAAATGTGCCCATCCATGAGATTAACAAACCTGGGAGCACCCAAAAAAAAAAAAAACTACGTGATACATTCTTATAAGCAAAGTCCAAGCAACAATCAGAAAAATGCAAATGACATTTCAACTGGAATAGCCATATAACATGAAAAAAAACTCTCCTCAGAAAAATGGGAACATGTTATACCTCTTACAAATTGCAAGACCAAGACCACTACCACCAGAATTTTTAGCTGCTAATGACTGGCTCTGTGCAAATTTTGTAAATAGCTTAGGAATATCTTGGGGGCTAATTCCTGATCCTGTGTCTTTTACCTACACAGAGCACACAATCATCACCCCTTTATCAGTCTCTTAGTGGAATACTTGGATTGTGACAGGATATTAGTCCTGTATATTCAAAACGTACCTGGACACGCAGATAAAAGTGATTATCACTGAGCACAGGGAAAAAATCAGGAGCTCGAGGATCTCTTAAAGAATCAGATTTTGCAACAGATGCAGAAATTGAGATGCCACCCTCTCTTGAGAATTTCACAGCATTGCCAACAACATTTAACATGATCTGCATCAGCCGCTTTTCATCACCAATCGCATACTCTGGCAAATCAGATGACATACTCAGTGTGACAAACAACTTTTTGACAGATGCGATAGGTTTTATCAAGTTAATAACCTGCAATCAGAAGCAAACACCTCAATCAGCCATGGATAAGGGGTGCTTTATGAAACAAAACTCAAAGTTCAAGACACATAACTGACATAGAAACACTAAAAATCGATGGATATCATGGTCTTACCTCCTTGAAGAGACCATGAAGATCAAAAGGTTCTATGTCAAGTTGAAGACTACCATCCTCAAGCCTTGAAAGATCTAAGACATCGTTGATAAGAGTAGCCAGAAGGTTGCTACTTTTGAGAATTGTTTCAACCATCAAGCGTTGCTCGGGCGTTAGTTCAGTCTCCTGAAGTAGAGACGAAAGTGCAATAATTGCATGCATGGGTGTTCTCATTTCATGATTCATAACAGCCAAGAAGTCATTACGAGCACGAACAGCTGTTTCTGCTTCTCTTCTTGCCAGATCAAGGGCAACATTTTGATCCATAAGAAGATCCCTAGCCCTCATTGACTCTTCCAAAATTGCTGCATGTGAGAGAGCTACTGCTACCTGGGTCAGGACAAGATATTATGATAAGCACTTCTTGGCTCAAACATATTTTGGAGGCCAACTACATCCAAATAAAGTAACACAAACTACAAAAAGAGGAACACGCATTGAGGCATCAGTGAAGGGAGTCAATTTTGGTGAGACACATTTCATAAATGGAATTAAGGAAGAGAACTTGCAGCACATAGTCACCATACCACAAGGTTGTTTAGTATTACAAATGAAAGTAAAATTGTGAGAGGGAAGCTCGCATGTTCAATAGTCTGTCATTTTCCACTAACTATTTAGAGTTGTCTTTTGGAACATTAGTGGGCATAGTTCTCAATAAATTGCACTACCATTATATACTGACCAATAAGAATTATCTTTAATAGTGTTAATGGGCAGACTTCTGAACAGCAGCCTGGTATAACAAAAATTCGTGGGTTATATACTCCATATGTCACCAAAACAAACTATTCTGATCCAAAGTCTGAGCTGCTGTAGCTACACAAGTAATAAGTTGGTGTAGATGATCAAAAGCAGGTCTGTAACAGTGTGAAGTTCATCATAAATCCAGACAAGTAATGTTAGAATGCTTAACCCTACACTTTGAAAAAACCTATGTTAGATCTCATATTTTTCCATGAAAAGTAGTGCAGAATGCACAGATTGAGTTTTGACCCAGTTATGAACATTTAACTAATAAAAACTAAGCAAGAAACAAGAGGGAAAGCCTAAATGTAACTCCTGATCAAATGGATAAGCTTGTCAAAAGCAAACTCGAAAGTAGTCCATGAAAGGAAAACTTGGTTTAAGACCTTTTTATGGGTCTGGCATCATATTTAGAAAGGCCACGATCATTGGAGAATGCCAATTTCAAAAACCATCTCAAACCCATATTTTCAGCTTTGATAGTCCATTAACCACACATATGCTTAGTTACTCAAACAAAATCTAAGTAATACTTAATCAGGAAAACTTTCTGTAAAGTCATTGACCTGTTTTCATTACAATATGCTGTACTAACTGCAAGTCTGCAACGGTCAGTAAAGTTTATTAAGTTCTAATGTTAACTGGTGTGTTTGGAAACAAAATTTTCCCAAGTATTATTTTGCTTGCATCACAAACACGTTTTTTCAACCACATTTTATATTCCCAACAACCTTTTAACCTCATATACATCACATCACAAAATTGAAGTACTTTCCATGCGAAAAGCTCAGCAAAATTGAAGGAGACGATAGGGAAGTTGGAACCTGATCGGCAACTACTTCCACAAGCTCCAACTCATGGACATGCCATTGCCTTGCACTATCTGAAGGAAGCATCAATACCATGAGGGCATAGCGCTTTGTTGACAGCTCTGGCCAATCATTTATTTGAAAATTAGAGAGATGCAGGAGGGGAACACGCACAGCGACAACCTCTCCTTGCATGTACTTTCCAGAAGGTCGGAGTTTTGCTACAGGAGAATTTGGTGATATTTTTACTGCACGGTTTGTACTAAAAACTTGATTAATCACAGGAAGCTGTATAGGTACAGTAAATCCAACAGGATTTTGGTGACGAAGAGTATATGACAGTTGAAGCTCTACTCCACTGCGTGTTGGCATCCATAATGCGCACTCTTCCAAGGCTAAAGTTCTGCCCAACTCAACAAGCGTAGTCTTTAGGATAGTATGTCTATCAAGAGTGCTTCTTATTTCATGAGTTAACATTCTAACATGTCTTCCAGTTTCTTCCTGTGTACGAATTAGGCCCATTTCTCGATCTAGCTCTGCAGCCTTATTTTTCAAAAATAGTTCCCTTGTTTTGACACTTAATAAGTCAGGTATAATGTGTACGAGCATTAGAGCTGTCGCACATGACACGGCAGCCGTCAAAACTTTTGCCGCTGTCATGACTATGGCCACAGTTCTTGAGTGCATGGTAAAGGTCCACAAATTTATAAGATGCGTAGCTCCACAAAGAACTATAAATGCACCAAACTGCACAAGCACCCATCTATAAGGAAACACAGCAGATTTTTTGACAAAATAGATTAACTCCAATGGGATGGAAAAGTAAGCAAGCGCTATAAAGAAATCTGAGATATATTGATATCTCATCAACAACTCATCAGCAGGCCATTGTGGCTCAATGCAGTTACAGGACTCCATGCTCAGTTAATTGTCTCCACCCCTGATAGTCCCTGGTCTACACACCTGCAGTAGAATACACAATAACAAAACCAACAATTACATCTCATCCTCATTCTTCTGAGCCATGAGACTATAATAGCACAACTAGAAATCAAGGTAGTAAAAATAGTACTAACTCAGCTACAGTGACTACCAGATGAAATAATGTCCTAAAAAAGTACAAATTGATATTCACATATGTTGTTCTTTCTTATCAGAACACATGCCTTAGCAACAAGCTCCAGATTCAAAATAGTACTACACGATTTTTTAGCACACAAAATTTATTTTCCCAAATATGCAAAAGACTAAAACATAAAATTCCCTGCATCTGTTCATGCATCAGACTTCAAACAGCCAAGCAAAATATCAACAAAATTCAACTCTTGCATTGACTTCATTGCTAACCGGAATTACTTTCCAAACTGCTGTATTCAGCATCTAACACAAGACTCTTCACTATTTCCACAAATGCTCAGATTAAGTACATAGACATTGTCTCTACTGATCACCTATTTAATCCGTTGTGACTGCCATTAAGGTTGTCAAATTTCATTCGATGAAAATCATACCCCTCTAATGATATTCACGAACTTAAGCATAATTGCACCACAGAAAAGTCTTGTCATAAGATGTACCTAGTCCACTCATTTTTTTCAACTAATTCAACTCAACCTTTTCCATCTTTAAATTGATTATTGTGAAACAAATACTAACACCCAGTTTAAAAGCCCAGGTGAGGAGCCTAACTAAATTCTAACCACAAAAACCAGATATGCACAAAACCACAAATGCAAGCTAATCCAAAACCCCATAAACCCACCTGCAAAATCAAGTTTTTGTTCCAATAATTCCACTCAAACACAAGCAAAAGTACTTATAACCGAACAAAAATCAAAACCCACTTCAGATATTCCAATCAGATCATAAAAGAGTAAAAGAAATGAACAAAAACACAAAAAAAAAGCAGCAAAACTTAATGAAATTAACAAAAAGTAAAGGGTACCCTTCTTTTCAAGATCCATGAACTGTAAGTTGAAAAAGAATGAGCAGTTCAGATTTCTTCTTTCAGAGGCTTTGATTCTTGGAGTTTCTATTGAATTCATTTAAAATAAAGTGAAGCTCTTTGTTTATATTTTTGGAGCTGTGCTTTCAAGTGTACAGGAAAAGTGTCTCGATTACATGAATTCTCCAAGTGTTTCCCAACTCACTCACCAAGCGGTGGTGCGGTGACCTTTTGTGGGTCAAGGGGAGTTTTCAGCCGTTGGATTTTAAGAGTCAGATCTGGTGGTGGTTACGGGTTGACTATCGGTGAAAAATGTGGGACCTGATTGCATAATGAGAGAGACCAAGTAGAGTAGCCAGAAATAGAAATCGGTGGACGTTGTAGGCTTGTCCTAAAAGTATTCCCCCCAATTGGAAATATGTTTTTTACTAAATTTAGATTTGAAGAAAATTGTTTTATAAAAAAAAAAAAGAAAGGAAAATTTTCACATTCGCATTCAACTCCAATATTTCAAATGGTTTGGCCAATAAACACTTGTTAAAAGGGGTTCCTCTTTTTTTTTTTTTTTTGATAAAAATACTTAATTTAAAAAAAATTAATGCAAAGGTGTAATAATTGTGATTATATGTGTGTACACGTAAGTTGAAAGTGATTCAGGTATGTTAACCGGGGGATAGGGACGAATCAGAATGAATTAAATCTAGCAACAAATCACCCACTATAATGATTTTGCCCTGAAACCTCTATCATACTAATCACATATCAACTCCATTTGGATTGGTCATTTCTTCAAAAAAAAACAAGTTTTTCAAATATAATATTACAGTAATACACAATAATTTTAAAAACATTTCATCCATATAATATATCAAATATTTCAAAAAAAATTTATAGTAAAATTTTTTCATATACACTGTTATAATAAAATTTTTCAAAAACACTTCAAAAAATAGCTAATTCAAACAGAATTAGCATATCCAATGTCTTAAAAAATGAAACATTCGAAATGATTCCTTGAACCACGGCTATTCCAATTGCAATAGAAGTAATGTTATCGATTGAGTAGATTCAACTACTCGTTTGTTGGCTCCACCACAAATTGATTGATTTTTCGTGTTAAAAGATTTTATTATGCCAATTGCCAGCTGAATACATTTACATGTTTTACAGCATTGCTTTAAGTTATCCTCGTGACCCTTGTAATAAATAGGGAAACAAAAAATAACTGAAAATGGATCTTGCAAATAAATTCACATTTATCATCCAGATGTATTCCCATCAAAAGGGAGAAGAAAGATGCGTCCTATGGATGACCCAAAAACATGATAGTAAGAGTTAAGCAGAAAAATTTTTACGTTTTTCATAAACATATTTTTTAATTATTTTTTTACGTCGTATACATTAAATTGTTATGACATATCTTTTTGTCTTTTTTGCGAGAACTCCTAAAAGAGGAATCCAAACGGGCTCGCGGCTTGTGACTGCAAAATAGTGAATACTTTGTTGGAAAATGTATGTTTTGTATCCACAATAGCCCCAAAAGTAATGCGGGACTTAAGGTCTAGGCTTTGTTAAACTTTTCTAGGCCTGAGACATGGTCTAGTCTAATCTATTTCCCCAAACAGAAAAGTGATTGTTACCACAACAATTTTGAAGGCCCAAAGCAAAGATTGGGTCAATCCAATCCAATCACTTCTCTACCAATCTGCTAGCCTCGAAAATCATTGGGGATCAGAGAATTTCGGCAAGGCCTGATCAGGTAGTGGACAAATGAACCAACCACATATTTCTTGGATTACTAATTAGGTTCTATCTCATCATGCTGAATTTTGTTGAGTTGGTTTACGCGTAGCTAATGCCAAACCAAATCATAATTTTTTTTTTCGAAGGAAGCCTACTTGATGGTGCCTCAACGATTTTGTTGGGCTCACCGTCGACGTAATACCAATTATCCTGTCATTTTTTGGTGATAGGAAACAATTCGAACACTATTATTTTCGGTGATTTATTCACATGAATGGATATGACATTTTCTTGAAAAACTACAGCAATTATTTGAGCAGAGGATTACAGCTTTTATTCCGTAAAGGCCTTTAAAACAAGATCTCATACGTGAAGCTATTACAGTATCTTCTACTTTATCTTGTAAATGGAAAGCTAGCCTCTTGGGCTAACTTGAAAGGCCGAGAGAAAGATTGTCAGGCTTGAAGCCAGCAACTATACTGGAATGGAGCTTGGATATTTGTACACATATTGGGCCTTACAACACGGACGACACAAAGTCTGAGATGGGAATAATAAGGAGCCACCCCATTTACCTTTCCTTTGCAAGCAATGCCGCCTTAAAAGTTACCTATTTTTCTAGTGAAGTGTACCACTCACCGGTGATAAAGTGGCCTTTTTTATTTGATCACATGACCGCTGATATTTTGTTCCAACTTTTAATAGTCATGCAACCTCATGTAGAAATGCGATAACAATGAATTATTCTTAAGTGAAGTGTAAATTTGGGGTTTCAAGAAGGCACCTTCATAAGTGAAAGTTTTTACGTTTTTTGCATCTATATTTTTCAATAATCTTTTTACTTTACATGTATCGAATCGTTATAATATATTTTTTCATAAAAAATTCAGAAAAAGCAGTCCAAATGGAACCACATAATTAAAATGCATCTCCTTTGAAATCTGGTGCCTAGGAATTTGCGCATGTCCGTCATTAAAAATTAAGTGCAAATTTCCTCCAAAAAAAAAAAGAAAAAAGAAAGAATAGAGAAGGTGCATGATTAAGGGCTTGATCCGAATGGAATGGAATTCATGCATTTGCTTTTCGGCTTAATTTTCAACACGAAAAAGCAAAAGATCCAATCAAATGCGGTCGGTTTTGAATCAAATCTGAATCTACTAACCATACGAAAAGAAAGATTTCGTTCGACCGTTAGCTTTAGGCGGGTGTCGGTTAACTGGGCTCCCAGAAACGCGGCGCAAGGACACGTGTCGGTCTTAAGGACGGTGATGGTCAATTTACCACGTTTTAATCAGGTGGACGACAAGGGCATCCCTTTATGGAAAGTAGATTCTACCTGTAAACGTGGCCCAAATTGAAGGGCTGATTTCAATAAGGCAGTTTTTAGCCGTTGAACAGTTTATTTTGATTTGACGTATTGGGGGCATTAGCCTTAGCTATTAAATTCATTTTCCGTCGTTCTTTTGTATGATTCCTTGGTTAGTCGATTCCTCGTGTCTCCCTCAAGTATTTGGACAGCCCTTTATATTTATAGGATGAGATTGACGAGTCAAATAAGTGTCTCCCTTGCTTTTGTAGTACCCACTTTTTTAATTAAAGACTTGCATGATTGGATGGCTTGTTTTCTTTCAGTTGGATGAGGATTGAATCCAAAGTTGAACAAGATCTTCTTTCTTTAAATTGTTTTTTTTTTTTTTGGGTGGTTATGTTTATTTTAATGTGACATCGGAATATATCTTTGAATCCTTTATCTTTGATTGAATTAACTCCATTAAAGCAAGAAAGGGATTGAACCGCCAACTTATTGCTTTTACTCCCTCGAACAGCAAAGCGATTGGATAACGAGCAATATCCCGATGTCAGATACTGCTTGAGTGGTAAATATATTATTAAGTTATAAAGTAGTAATTCCTAGGAGTCACGACTTAATGTTTAGTTACGTTAGAAGTCAATAATAGGGTTATGGAAGTAGTAATAAGAAATATATATACATATATATATGGGATAATTTCAGAAACTTCATCTGAGGTTTCTAGTAATTTCAGACTGTTCTCCTCACGTTTTGAAAATTACACATACCTCCCCTAAAATATAGGTTTGGGTTTCACTTGATAACGTAAGACCAAAAAAGTATATGAATGCCCAAAATTGTCCTCATCTAAATTTCCTTAATATGAATGACCAGTAAAATTTTTTAAAAGTCAAGAATACACTTGTATACTACCAAAAT